GCTTTTTTGTATCTGATGTTCTTGAATAATTACCAGCTAGAGGCAGATAACCGGATTTTTTTTTTTTTTTTTTTGGGGGGTCGTGTGGTTTTATAGAATTATTTTTTCCAAAAAGCACTTGTTATGGTGCCATAAATATCAAGTGTGAAAGCTTTCTGTTTATTAAAGTGGGAAAACATTTCATCAACAGATTGCACGTCTTTTGCCAGTGCAGTTCTTGGTTTAGTGCATTCTTCTAATTTACAGAACCCTCGTAAAAAAAAGGCCTTTGTACCTCAAACTTCGCTGCGAGCTACACAGTGTCTCAGTTTGGTCACATTTAAATCAACTATGCATTTAGAGGAAAACCCACTCAGACCTACTGTTTGTAAATAACCATCAGTGTTAAAAAGCATCATATTCTTAAAGGCAACACTGTCTGGGACATGCAGCTTGAGTGCAATGTTATACAGCATATAGGCTCAACTTACCAAAACAGGGGCCACCTGACTGTGGTCAAGAGGATTTTGATGTTTGCATTTCTCAACATTGAAATTTTGTTTTCATACCTGTTTGGAACTGTATTTCTGCAACAGATCAGCTTGATGAATTTGTATATAAATACTATGTTGCAACTGTGTTTACACTTTTTTCAGCAAACAACTGTATAATGGTGCATCCATCATTTAAGTCCTGCTTTGGGTGAAGCCAACGGGAGTAAGAAGGTTCTCAGCTGTGGAGTGTCTGCTTCTGCAGCCTGCATGCTTGTGGAACAGCATTTTTGTACTAAATGATTACTTGAGCAAGACGCAAGTGAATTTTGCTCTTTGCATCCAAACTAAAAGAATTTTGTTGAATGAGATGGTAAATGGACTGTACTTATACATTTCTATCTTATCGAGATACTCAAAGCGCTTTACAACAATCTGTGCCTCATTTACCCATTCATACATCACTCTACTAGATCTCTACAAAACTGAACAAATCATTCTAATGAGACTACTCAAAGCTTTAGATCACATTCATACACTGATGGGACACACATAAGAGGTAACGAGGGGTTCAGTGTCTTGCCCAGGGACACTTCAGCATGTGACTGCTGGTGGATTCGAACCCCCAGCTCTTGCATCGGAGGACGACTGCTCTAACCACTGAGCCACAGCCGCCCACAGATGGGAGGTGCGCAGCGACGTCTAGTCGACAGGAAGTACTGCTTCAGGGGTAAGTTGAGGGATTTTTACAGAGGCTCCCAAGTGTAAAGCAAAGCACCACCTAGTGAGCAAATAAGTAACAAGAAAAAACATTACCGAGTGGAATGCATTATTTTATGAAATGATGTATACGGGATTAAAGTTGTAATTAATGAGAGTCGATGTTCCCCCTAAAGAACAAGAGAGTGTAGTAAAGTTAAAGTTATGGGAGCATTTTAATTTTTTTTAGCGCAGTATAAAAAAGTAGAAGGATTTTTAGGCTTTATCAGAAATAAAAGTTTTGTGACTACACCAAAAATTAATAAATAAGTAAATAAGGGCCGTCAACATTAACGCGTTAACGCATGCGATTAATCTAAAAAGATCAACTCGTTAATATTATAATGCAGATAATATTCCCTCTAAGCTGCGCGCCTGTGCAATCGTGCACTGCTCGCACATTCTTTGTGCACAAGAAAATCTATGCTGCAGTTGCGAACTGGGCATCAGCCCAAGCGCAGCGGTCTCTATAACCTGTCTGAAATGTGAGCAGAGTGGAGGGAGGACCCCACCCCCACCCCCCGCGCTGGTCAAAACATCAAAACAGACCTGTGTCATGTGATTTGTATAGCGACAACGGAAGTTTACGAAGAGATAAAAAGTTCAACCAATGAAATCACAGCCGAATTTTCATTCCAGCCAATCAGCATTTTCTGGAGTTTCGGCGCTACGTGCGAAGGAGCTAAGTAGCTACAAATAACTTTGTCTTCCAGCGTTTTTCCAAGCTTTATACTGCATATGTCATCGCATACCGAGGAATAATATTTGACGTTGTGGATTTATCACAGAAGTTTATGATCGTACAACATCAAACAAAGGTGGTAAGTAGCAAATCCCACGACTTGTAGCTGCTTTAATCATGCTAAGTGTTAGCAAACAGTAGTGCTCGGTGTACAACTGTATATAACTGGATGGTCAAAGGAAAAGTTTACAAGACAGTGATGAGACCAGCTATGTTGTATGGTCTGGAGACAGAGACATGGACAAAAAGACAAGAGACAGAACTGGAAGTGTCAGAAATGAAGATGTGGTTCTCCTTAGGAGTGACAAGGATGGATAAGATTAAGAATGAGATCATCAGAGGAACAGCACAGGTTGAACAACTGGGAGATAAAGTTAGAGAGACCAGACTGAGAGGGTTTGAACATGTCCAGAGGAGGGACAGTGGTTATATTGGTAGAAGGATGTTAGAAATGCAGCTGCAAGGAAAAAGACAAAGAGGATGCAGTTAGAGATGACATGGACGTAGATGGAGTGAGGACAGGGGACACACAGGGATGCTCAGATGCTCAGGGAGCTTGTGTGTTTGCTCAGACACATGAAAAATTAGAGGGAACATTGCATTTACATGTTTTGATCATATAGATGACACTTAATGAGACATTTGAGTTAACAATTATAAATTAATGTTTGAAACAAAATGTCTTCTGCAAATCGTGCTGAGTATAAATACCTGGAAAACTGTTTGATTTGAGACAATAAAACATTTTCTTCAACATTTTATGAAAACCTGCATATTTACATTTCAAGCTTACAAAGTTAAGCATAGTGATTAATCAGATTAATCACAGCCCCAGAGTGTGATTACATTTTTTAATCGATTGACAGCACTAATCAAAATAAAAACAGACAAAGATAAACGTGGCTGATTTTTCCGCAAAGCCAACACAAGGGTTAACACTGAAAAGCTTTGAAAGCTGCCCCTCATCTGGACACATTAGAAAACTGGGGCAATGTATTCTAGTATCAGATAACTCACAGCTATACTTTGAAGAACCACATGTGGACCACTTGTAGACCCCCGTCTGGAATTAAATGAGTTCGCATTTTTAATTAGCTGAGACTCCTTCAGGGTTCTCTTACCTCTTTGCTGATAAAAGTTTTTCTTGTCAGCTGTAAGAGTTTTGATTGTTCACCCGTTTCTGCAACTTTCACGGTTTCATTTTAATTGATTTGTGTTTTTGCAAAGCATCAACCTGAATCTACCTGACAGAATGTAGGCTGCTAGATTTGAACTTGGAATAAATGTGAAATGTCTTCTTCCATTGAAATATCACCACACTGTCTGAGTGTGTGTAACTTTACATTATCTGTATAAATACAATTCAATTCAATTCAAAAATACTTTATTAATCCCAAAGGGAAACTAACTGTTGTTGTAGCTCATCTTGGTTTCATTAGAGTTGTTCTAGATGCTGATGATTTAGGGCAGGAATGATCTCTTGTAGCAGTCCGTCCCACAACAGATCCGAAGAAACTGGCTGCAGATGCCGATCCATCCACCCAGATCCAGCAGACCTCTCGTCTTCTTGGGCAGCAGGACTGCCTGAATGCCAAGCGGAACTCCTCCCTGAGTGATGGCCATTTCTCCCGGCAGCCTGCCGAGCCCCTCGTTACTGCGGACTTAACTGCAGGTGCCGGGGGACAATCTCAGTCCTCCTGCTGTCACGAGGCGTTTCCCGCCGCCTCCAAGATCTCGGCGGCCAGGCACTCGAGCACAGCATCCAGGTAGACGGTTATGCATCTATGGCACCTCCTTTTCAACTCATTTGGGATTTGGTGCTGTAGCTGAGGTCTTATTTGACCTTTGGAGGTGTTGACCAGCAGCTCCCAGTTGTAGAAAACCACCTTGTTGTCATGGTTATGCATCATAACAAATGTCCAAAAGTAAAAAAGTTTTCAGTAAAAATCCTTCCAGTGGCACAGCATCTGATACCAGAGGAAGTAATCATCCGAAAAAAACTCTATTTAAATCCAGAAAAATTAGTTTTCACAAGCAAAATCTCAGAATGAATGAACAGAGCTACTCCAACATGCAGCCACCTTGGGCAACACAAGTCTGTATTCTCCTAAATATGTCCCTGAAGCTTTTTATTGTTTGTTGACGGTGCGTTTTGTTGAGCCTGATATATTTCCTTGTTAAGGTTGAGAGGATCTATGTTTGTTTTGTGTCTCTTGTGTTGTCTGTCCTGCACAGTGTTTCTCCCACATGTGAGCAGCTCCTCCTCTGCCACCTGTTGTCCTTCCTCAGGTGTTTGCGTTTATCCCTCGTTAGTCTCTTTATATCCTGTTTCGTTGTTGTTCCCCTGTCCATGGATTGTACAGCATCATGTTCCTGTCTCCCCCTGTGAATCCTCATCATGTATGTAAGTTTGCTGCCACGTCAGCCCTTTTTGTTTGTATTAATAAATATTCTTTATTTTATTCTTGAGTTCTGTCTGCACCTGGGTCCAACCACACCACAAACCTTGACAAAGGTTTAGGATATTAACAATGTTTGATGATGGCGGTAAACCTTAACACGTGGTTTGATTATTCTGAGTATGCCAAAATAATAAATCATTCATCAGATGATTGAGGGCTCATGACAATGTTGGACTCATTCTAGCATTTAACAGAAACACGTCTTTTTCTTTCCTGATGATGAGAAAGAAGCATCAGAAGTTCCCTGGCGCAGCACAGAGATGTGCAGGGAAAACGTCAGTCCTGGTTGTAATCATCACAGTAGCTGGTTTCAAATGAATAATTTCACAACACACCTACAGCGTATGAACGCAACAACATATATTACTGAGCGTGCTCCAACACACATGCACGTAGAGACACACAAATACTAAGAGAAGGGCTGATTTTCAACTAGTTACTCATCTAAAGTACTCAACTCCCTTCCCTCTCTCAGGGGTCCCGCTTTGTAACCTTTCTGAGGCCACAATCAACCCCCCACACATCTGCTCCCTCTCATACACACACCCTGTATACACACCCTTGTACCTTGGTGCTCCAGAGTTTGACGGTCCAGTCAAAGGAGGACGTGATGAAGAGGTGGGAGAAGTCTACGGTGCCCACCGCACTGTGGCAGCTGATGCCTGTAACGGGCCCCTGGTGGCCCTCGAATATTTCACAGATGCCTGCTTTACTAGAGAAGCACAAGCCAGAAATAGATGTTGAAACTTTGGCCCAAGCTTAGTGGGGTTTATTTGTTTATTTTTAACTTAAAATGGGCAAGTAATTTTAAAACAGTGAAAGACCTAGATGTTAAAATGCCCTAAATGTTTATAAAAATAATAAATGAAGTACAGTAACAGCTGACCAACCTGCCATGTCTGGATGCTGTGTACACAGTACCCTCCTCACTCCCCACCACGTAGTTGTTAACATCTCCTGTGGGGAAGGCCATGCCTGTCACCGCCACGGGCTTGGACTTATTGTACACCAGTTCCATGGTTTCCTACACACACGTACAAATAATAATTACACATTTAATAAATGGAAAATATGGCAATAATGAAGTACTGTAGTCCCTCGTGTATTGCGGTGGATCCGTACCCTAAAGACCCATGATGAGTGAAAAAACGCAAAGTAGGAATACTAGTACAAGTAGTAAGTAGTAGTTAATTTTAGTATATACATATATACATATATATATATATATATATAAATAAATACTGTGTATATATATTTATATATATATGTATATATATAAATATATATACATATATATATATATATATATATTGTGTGTATATATATATATATGTATATATATATACATAT